TTATATTACGTTGATGTGTAGATGTAGGATATTTCGCTGTAAACGTGTGTCGAACCGTCAAAGCCTTATGTACAAAGCCAACACGCTGATTACTCATATTAATTGGTAATAACTCCTCTCTTCACGTATATTATTTTATTGTAAGGTCAAAACAGCTCCAAACTTGTTATCACGTCTCCCTAATCTTCCTCGCTTTCTCCAAACCTTTTCCGTCCACTTTTCAATCCAAGTGCATACTCTTACGTCATTATAGTTCTTAGATTTATTTTACTTACAATTGAATTACTAAATTAGGATGAACAAAATTAAGTTTTAATCTCAATTGTTTCAATGTCTTATTTATTGTGAAATAATTTTTAGATAGCGAGTTTTTTCTACAAAATTAAATAAGTAACCTTGGCAGCGATTCATTCAGGATGCACGTAAATACTTGTCAGCTCGTCATCATTCTCTATTTTTGGTAATATATTCAGACTTTTTTTGCGCTCGGATGCTTTTTTACGTTTCTACTTGTTGAAGTAAAAACCATGATATCGAAACAGTTTTTTTGCTTGTTTTTTCTCTCACACCGCTATATAAATAACATTAATACCTGTCACCTCGCTTTTTTTTGTATATATATGAGAAATTCCAGAAACAACTCCAGTTAAGAGTCTCTTGCACTCGGAAATTTTTTGTTATGGTCCAGTTGTAGAACAAAGATATTTCTTTACAAATTTTTGATACATCTCTAGAAGTTCAATAAAATTTGTGAATGTTAATACGACCCATTTTCTCGGTCACTTCCATTTTCAATGTGTTTTTGCGCGAATACCAGAATACAATTGTTTTAAATCTAGCATGAAATAATTTTTTTGTATTTTTTTAGCCTAATCAAGTTAAAAGTGTTCTAGATTTTTTTTTGTAGACCCCGTATAACTATTGAGTCAATCATTTAAAATTTCAAAACAATGCACAACTGTGGGGTTTGAGAACAACTACTAATAGAATTTTTTTTCTTGACATCAGACCAATAACTCAATTATAGTCTCCGATTTAAAGTTTTTTTTTCTTTTATTTATTTACTATTATTTTTTTTTTTAATCAACTTCAACGTGATACTAACTTTAAAAGGCTCAAAAAAGTTTCATATTTATAAATTTTGTTTTCCTAAGTTTTACGTAAGTGCAAATTTTTTAGTCAAAGGTGTTCCTTAATTTTTCCCGATTAAAGTAAACCTTCTAAATGAAATTTTTATAGAATCACCAATGTATACAGCACCTATACATTGCAAGATAATTATATAGCACGAAAAAACACCTTTCCTCATCTTGGCAGTCGGCTCCTCAATCATGCATTCACTCAGCAGAAGACTCACACGTACTTTTGTATACTTGGACACTTTTTTCTTCGGTCCATTCGGCTGCGTTTTTTAAAATTTTTTTTTTAACGTTTTAGCCTTGAACGACCGCACACTCTTACAACAACGAATATTTATGGAGAAGACATACCAATTTACAGCTCTTCTCTCATAACATGGGTTGGCATATTTTTAAATGCCTGTTTTTAAAAATTTTTGAGTTACGCGTATTTTCACACCTAATGCAGCAGAGATATATTGTGGTGACAATAATTGGGGATGGGCAAGAAATACCGGATAAAATTGATTTTGATGTTTCTGTCGCACGTACACTTGCTACTTAATTTTTTATTATAACATGCTTATAATTATCTTGTCTTACATTCTCACGTGGTGGTTAATGTAAAGTTGAATCGTAGAATGCGTATTTAGATGGAAAAAGGAAAAAAACCAATACAATAACTTTACATTAGTAATTTTTTTTTTAATGCTGAATATTTTAGCAGTTCTATTAACATAGTCTGTTGAACGTCCTTGGGCGTTTATACATCGATTAGTCTTGTCACTTATACATTTACAACTCTACTGCGTTATTTTGGTTATTTTTATGTTTAATTTTTTTTTAACTTCATTCATCAGAATGCTCGTTCTTCAGTTAGCTCAACTTTGGATGTGTACAATGACAGTCTCTTTCTAAAAAAAAAAAATAATAATAATTGGTTTGGATTATTTGAGTGAAAATTTGAAGAAAAATTTTAAATTTTATTAATTGTACTTGATTGTACCTTTACTGTACAGTAGTGACCTGAAGATATATTAGAATTGATAAATAAACGTATTAAAATATAAAAGCAAGAAATTTATATTTGATGTAAATTGACTATTTTTACAATGAACAACACAATGGCTTTCAAAATGGATTTTTTTTTCATAGAAACATGAGTTAAGGTATAAGGTTAGTCTTTATGGATAGTGTTTATGAAATACACGATCGAATATTATTTAAACCATCACTACTGTATACACGTAACGTCAATACAACTTATTTTATCTATTTTTCTGCGATGACCTTGACAGTGTTTTAACTTGATATAAAGTAAGAATGACTCAAACTGTGTTTGTAAATAATCATATAAATATAAGATACTACAGAGAGATACATTGCTGATATGTAGGACAAGCAGAGTTCCTCCAATTTTTATTAAAAACTATTACATTATATAATTTAGGTTAATAAACAAATAATTAGTCAAGAAGTATTATCGAGTACTTATCTTATCATAATTTTACTTTAACATTTAGATAAGCAATCCTCACAGGTATTATCGATAAATTAGAATACTGGAATCATTAATAAATTAGTTTTCACTTTTACCTATTTTCAAGACTATTGAATAATTTATAATGTAAATATTTAGATATTAAATTAAAAAATACTCGAAAAATATTAACTCGTTATTAAAACTAAAAATCTTCAATGTT